ATTATCAGTGTCGGAATATATTTTCGCATTCCTCACCTGAGCTCGGGAGTTTCCTCGCTGATTATAGAAATTTGCATACGAATTCGGGTAGAAGTGCCCACCCTAGTAATTTCCTCATTGCGTATTTTCCCACCCTGATATACAGTGTTTGAGGTCAACATGTCTTTCCATCGTGCCTTCGCCCGAGTCGTCTGCAACTACAACAAGAGTATAGAAGGCTCCGTCCCCTGGTGAGCATATCTGAGGTTCTCCCGTGCCACTCACGGATTAGGTACCAAGTGAAGCGTGAGAAGTCGCCATTCCAACAGGTGTGGGATGAAGTCTTCACACCAATTTGGTTCAAGCTTGTCAAGGGACCGTAACAAGATACCCCCTCACCGCACAGCGAAGATTTCTTCCACCTTTACAGATATGAACGTTGGGAGTACAACGCACTGGTCGCCCGTTACAGAGGCATGGGCATCATGGCTGATGACGCGATGAATGACAAGGTCCCTGGTTCGATCCCCGGCGGCGGCATTTTTATCTTTTCAGGATATGATCGTTGAACGAGCGCTTGATATCATTCCTGAGGACATCCGTATACAGAGATATAGGCGTATGATGAGAGGTAGGTCCGATGCACAATGTCAACTACATGTGTTGGTGACATTTTTATTGGTTTTTGTACATTCCACCCGAATTGACTCAGCTGAGGGAAGCGAACATATATTCCTCCATCACTGTTCGGATGTCGCTCAGGCGCGGTCCTGGCCGGTCGTAAGCTCCATCTCCCACTAGAACTCCAAAACTACGATCCTATGGTGCCCTACATGGCCCCTTATATCGAGGAAGCTAAGTTCCAAATGCAGGAGGAACAGGAGCTGCTGGCTTACCATCCTTGGGATCGGCGACTGTAGGTTGACGATGAATATGTTACATTCAGCAGATCTTATATCATTATGTAACGGCAATAAATAGTAAACGAAGTTAGATATCAATGAACTACGGTTGATAGCCGTTCGCATACTCGGGTGGTGCGAGTAACGAATTCGGGAATTTATATGGTATCCTGGAGATCTGATCAGTGCAAGTCATTAGCATTTTTGATAGTATGCGGTTGTAGAATTAACTATGAGTCTGTAGTCGGTGTAAATCTCGTTTTACTGTTTTCTATCAATTTTGCTTCATCTTAGATACACCGCAGGCGTCTCTGGTTTTGGCGAGACTTCGATGCATTCGACCTTCTTGACTATGTAGCGAACCAAGATGCAACAATATTATCACATTCGTCGCTCATTGCGCCGATCATGGTTGTTGACAGGAAGAAGCTGCTATTTTTACTACATGGCATGGCTCAGTCGTGTTCAGTAGTGGTCAATTTATTCTCTGTTTTCACTTCGCTTTGTCGTCGCTCTGTCTTGATATTCGTACATTTCAATGCGTCCATCTTCCGAGGAGGAAGACGATCCGATCGCTTTCGTCGCGATGAGCTTCCGAATAACGCGAGAGAAATGAAGCAACCAGACCCGCGTCTAACGTCGTTAATTGAAGCGGGTATGTTTTTTAAAAAACTAGCTATTATATTAACATTTTGGGTAATAAGTTAAAGTCAGTCGGTAAGTGATTAAAAAAGGGTATTTTTTCAAAAGAAGTGGTTAAATTATTAAAAACTCGGGTAAAATATTAAATTGACCTCGAAATGCTCAGCGTTTCGAGCAGCTCAGAATCTACAGCATTTAATGCTGTAGATTTTCTTATGCTCTCCAAATCTTGTTCAAAAGACCGCATACACGTACCATGAAACGATGGAACATGAGGTCACAATAACAATAAGAAGAGTATTACTTGTGCCGTAGAGCAGTCCAGGGGGTCATCCAGCCCCGAGAGCGAACGTTCCTCGAGACGTTGTGCACAGGGAATAATGTTCCCGACGGTGGAGTTGCGCGCTTAGCGCGCGCCATACCGATCGATAAAATTCAGTTGCTCACGATGAGCGGTGAAGTTCACGCCATGAACCCTATGTGCCGTTAGTAGACTCCGGGGTGACTTAGTCTTATCATTAAACCTCAATGCCTACCATCGACGCTTTCGCCCTCATGATGCGCAGCCAAGGGAGGAGCAGCAGCAGTAGTAGTAGTAACGACCATAATCCCGTTCAGGAGGCTGCCTCCGCGAGTAGACAACAGGAGACCAGCGATGATGCCACGGAAAGTTGGGTTGGTCGAATCTTCCGCTTGACTGTAGTCCCGTCTGTCAGACGTGGCTTGCGCATCAGCTCCTTCGGCATCGGGTGTCATTGAGGGCGAGGTTCCTGCGGTAGCCCGTGTCGAGGAGTTGGTCTGTGAGGCGAACCCGCCCAAACGCGCTAAAACATCGAACTTGCGAGAGGAATATCCCTGGCTCGTGGCCGCGAACAAGCCTGGAGAGGTTGTGGCGTACCTTTGCAAGGCTTGCTCGGCATCCGCTGTGCATCTAGCAAGCCTGGGAGAGTCAAGAGAATACTTCAGCAATACGGCGGTGCTCGCGTCCAACAATGTGCGAGTGAAGGCGGCTGCGCACTGCAAGAGGCTGTCCCACAAAGCCCTAATGCTAGGGGGATTCAAGGAAATCACCGAGGCTCTCGTAGAGGCTAAGTCCCAGCAAGTGTCAAAGAAGCTTGAGAATGACAGGGCTGGGATAAAAGCATCGTTGGAGACACTGCTCTGGCTGATAGTCAATGAAGTAAAAGTTGGACAATCCAAGATGGTAAATGCAAATGTTAGGTCTCTCTCAGATTCCCTTCACCGAGCACTTTGAAGGCACGTTAGCCCTACAGTGCGCACGAGATTCACGTCTACGGAAATGGTGCCAGTCGAGAGATCGCAACGCAACCTACAGGTCGCATACGAGGATATGCGATTTTCTGGAAGTCCTTGACGAAGTCCTGGAGGCCGAGGCCACGGAGAACATCAGTCAGGGAGTTAGCAAATACAAGGTGTACTCGATCATTGTCGATGAGAGCTCGTACACGGAAAACTCTCACCTCGCGATATTTATCAAGTAGGCCGCGAAATAGTCATTTGTGTATCTTCTTCCACCGTGAAACCAGATACATGAAACTGGTAGACGGGAAATACCGCCCAGTTGAAGAGCTCCTGGATACTAGAGTGATTTCATCGACCAGTGGATCCGAGGTCGGGGCCGTTATCCAAGAAACGCTGGAGAAATTTAAGCTACCGTTTGAATATCTCCGGACATTCAGCGGTAATGCGAATGGCCGTTGCCGACTGAGCTCTCTCCAGCTGTGGGTTGACAGGAGACGGGGCCAGCGCGATATCCGGGGACGGAGAAGGCACTTTCGGCTTTATTTTGAGAAATATCAATCCAAAATGCCAGTTCCAGCACTGCTGGTGAATCGTGGAATCCAATTACTGCATGCCTCCTGGTTTTTTCAGTGCTCATAGACTGGCTCTCGTGAGCCGCAACGTGGGGGAGAAACACGTGATTGTGATGAGAATGTTGGACGCGTTGAAATCACTTCACAAGTTGTTTCACAAGAGCAATAAGAAGAGCTCGACTCTACGCAAGGTCTGCGACGAGAGCGGAGAGAAATATCGGTAGTAATCAGAAAATAATCACAGTTAGTGTGCTGTGACAGCACACTAACTGAGACAGCACTGCTGTCTCAGAAAACTGATACGATGCGCCCAAACTCGATGGCTATCAGCCGCCGAATCTCTTGATAGACTCCGACAACAACTTCCTCAGGTTATACTAGCCCTGAGGGAGATTGCTGCTGACAGGTCCTTTCCAAGCAAGAAACGCGCGCAGTGTGAAGGGATTCTGCGAATACTATGTGATGCCGAAACTCCAGTTACCGTGGCAATTCTGGGAAAAATCCTTAAGAGGATATCGAGGGTCTCATTAGTGTTTCAATCCGCTGATGTCGATATAAGCACTGGCATTGCTGCTACAACCCGGTTGATCAATGAATTGCTGCAGCTGGGGAACGAGCAAAGTCTTCTGGAAGATGCACAGGAAGAAATCGAGAATTTACAGTCGCGCTTGTCGTCTCATGGGATAACCAGTTCGACGACTACCGTGCGTTCTTGCCGAGCTGCTCAGGAGGGGCCGACGGGAAGCACGAAGGGCTTGGCTGCCTTCGTGAACGAAGTTGTGGTCGAATTACGGAGGCGGTTCCTTCCCGACAATGACCTGCTCAAGCAGATATCTACTTTCGACCAGCCGGTCTGGCAGATAAAGTCGAAAGCCGCGGCGGACAGGCTCGGTATCGATCAAGAACAGATGTCACAAGAAGCTAAGCTGATTGCCAAACATCTGGAGTGCACCAACCTCATCAAGGATACCACTGAGCCTGGGTTCGAAAGTGACTTTTGACTCAACCTAGTCAATGATCGCTACAGCTATGGTGTATTCAATGCGCATGTCATCCTTGCAGCGAGTTATCTGACCTTTCCATTGGGGTCCGTCAGTGTCGAAAGACTCTTTTCTGCCTATACTCGGACTTCAAGCAATTTACGCCGCGGCCTTCGAGGTGATCGACTAGGTATGATTGTTAGGATACGCAGTCGGGCGCCACTGTTCGCCACTATACAGGAGCAAGGTTTCCCACTTGACCACTGCTCTAAGACTGCTCGGATCGACGAGCTGCTGGACAAGGCGTTTGAGGTGTGGCGAAGGAAGCCACGAAGGATTCTCTCATCATGAATTGGGCGACGCTAAGCCACTGCATTCAATGCAGTGAAATTGAGTCGTAGGTAGTAAACCCGAGTGCTTCTCGGAATGCATTAATTCACCATGTCTCACAGAGTGGGGAGTGTTGTGTTTCGCACTGCGAGGTTCGCAGCAGAAAGTTTGACCACGATGCCTTCCGCGATGAGTTCCCAACCCCTAACTACATAACACCAACAAAAGTTCCTCGGCACGTTCCTATGAACTCAAGGGAAAAATGTTCCTAGCCCGCGCGAGAACTCAAAATATGTTCCCTCCGGGAACGTCACACGTTCCTGGATGACCCGGGGTCATCCAGAGGCTTTGAGACGGCTCTGATCAAATCTCTAGCCTCGCGCAACAAGTCTCCAAATTACTACACCTTTTCAATCTCAAATTCAGCAAATGACAGAACAAATTAGAAAAATGAAATTTGATTCCAGTTGGATGAAAGGAGATTTTCACGGAACGAAAGTTCAAATGCGAAAATAAAATTAATGACTTCGGAAACACGAGTTCAAATTAGTGAAACACAAGGTCAAGTTCGACCAGTCAAAACTCATTTCCATCACGTCTCGAAATGCACTATTCACACTACACGAGTTGTGCAAAACGTACTTGCGGTCTTCCCATTGTGCACAGTTATCGCGCGCCTTTCCAATTTGGGAAGGCAGGGTAAGGTGAGTTACTGCCTCCGAGGGTTTACTCATATTCATTCATACATGTACTCGTTACGAGTAACTCACATGCCGCCTTTGGGATGATCATAACATTAGGTCAAACTCGGAAAACCCTTCTGACGAAGCTGAACCCACGACCAGCCGCTTACTCAGCGTGTGCTCTGCCAGCTAAGCTAGGGAGGCTTTGCTAGAAATATATCATCCTCCGCTTCCACCATGAATTTAGTTATATCGTTGTTCCCTGATGTCGCTGAACTAAATGGCTCGTCCATCATGAACAAGCAACGTATAGCTGCTTAACGGTGAGGCCGAATAACTTCGATGCCGTTCGAATGCCGCCTGCAGATACGTTTCGCATCGTCATTGTTCTCGAGACGATCATTCATATCGTTCAGTTTTGGTATATAAAACGACTCGTTGGCGGCTGGGTTTTGACAATTTGGCGTTGCAACTCGGTGATGATGTTCCTTCTACCAGAAGTTAATTTCATTTTTATTATCGTATTTGATCAGATCATCTCATCACAAGTGTGGACGACTCGGATGAAGTGTCCTCCATAATCACCGATAAGGTTAATTCAACTTCCATCCGACCCATCGTTTGGGAGGCATCAGTCATCACTTGATCATCACCATTCCCTCTGGTGTGACGAGTCTAGCCATTCTACACGTCTTCCACGTGAAGACGTGGAAGACGTGTTACACGTCACGTCCGTTACCATTCGTTACTGTTACCATGGCGTTGTTCTAGATGTCGTCGCTGAGTTCAGATCCCGGTGGAAGCTGTCCCGCAACTGGTGTAACACAAGGGGGTCCTGTAGGTTAGGGAGGTACGCTGTAGACTGGCAATAATAATCGTACTGATCGTAAGGCGAAGGTAGTACTGTGTTCTCACGCGCAGCGCACAGACGAAGTACGTAAAAGAATTGTCTACCGTACTCGGATTAGAGAGTGTGGCTGTTGACTAACATTGTCCTGTTGACGAGATCAGGACAAGGATCATCAATCTTTTGGAAAGAACGACAGAAAAAATATCATGTAATGTTTAAAACGAACGAAAGGGAATAACAAGTCTGACGACGTGACGACTCTGTGACGACAGCCTTTCAAGCGTTGTAGCGGGCGTAAACTACAGGGTCCCCTTCAACCTTGTCTGAGCACAGAGATATTTCGGACGACTAGTGAGCGCGATGCCGGGAATTCAGTCACACCGTGACATGAAACGAAGAGACTTGAGTTGAACGAAGAAACTCACCCAATATTTTAATAAACTTATGTTTTTCATACAGGGCGACTCGAGCACGCTTCGTAGGGTTCGCGTAGAGGTAGAGGACATCCCAGTTCGGCTGGACACTAGGAAGCTGAAAGGAAACAAATACTAAGCCATTTTCAGAACAGACGTCTCAATGAGCATCTCCACGACAATGGACAACCGCACTGTACGAGTGGAACAGTTTGACAAAGGGTGTCGTGGCAGACTCACGTCTTCGAAGGTCACCGATAGAAGTCCTTCCTCGACTCCATTATTCTCCCAACCTTTTGCGACAAACAACTGGAAGTCCGAATGGCAACAACGTCAAGTTGGAGGATTCTATCAAGCCTACGTTATGGATGGCGCCGATGTCTCCAACCCACTGCTTGCTAGACATCGGCCTACATAAGGTAAGTTCAGCCGGACATAAGTTGCCCGCCTCGCACGAGAAGGAACCATATTCAGTGGGTAATGCTTACCGGTTACGTAAGATCTCAAATAGGATATCATCTGGCACACTGGTCTCAGACATAGGGATAGACATAACCAACACGCCGACGACTTTCTGAGAGAAGATAGCTAGCTGTCAGCGAGCTGCTGAAGCTGCATTGCGGTGCTCGATCAATTTCTAACCCACGGTATTAAAACGCAGAGTCAAGGAGGGAAGCTGCTTCAAGCAGTCTGTTTGTACAAAGAGCGATATATGTAAACATTTATATCCATGTGATTACTCGGCTAGTCATTGTCCTGCTGTCAACTAGTCAACCATCGACCTCAATAGAGCAATTGAAAGTGGTCTCACTTGTTTTGTGGTGTCCACTGCGACCCAACAACGAACTGTGTTACAATCATCGGGGTCGAATTGACCGCTCACGGGGGTTAGGTCATCTCCGTACTCGTATTGACGAAACTCGTAGTCGTCGAGCGAGCGCAGAGCCGCCTGGCCTCCCATCGCCGTGAGGAAGAGTACTCCAGATAAGAGGGAAACGAGGAGTTTCATGTATGACCGGAAGAAGTTATCACCTGGAGCGCAACATGTAACGTTTTCTTGGGCGATCCATTCACCCCGCTGAAAAACCCAACACTTGAGTTCGCGCTTAATGACGAGTTTGTCATCAGGAGATGTTTTCAACTTGATATCAAACTTTGATAATCAAAGTCCAATCACATCTTGATGTTACCGAAGAAAAAAGTCCCAGAAGTCTCCCTCATTCCGGAGCCCGTCTGCTCTACTAATATCGACCAACTCGCTTACTCCACTCAAAACGCTACGAATAGACAAGATTCCGCACGCACGCGTGCGGCCTAGATCTCCTACTAGGAGATCTAGGTACGCGTACGTACGGCAACGTACGCGAGTAAATCGACCACGGGGAGATAAATAAAGATAAAAAAGTCGAAACAGACAGGATTGCTGTTAGAGGCGACTGCCCAGATCGTCGTAGTGGTACCTCAACGCGCGACAAGCATCTTGTTCATCCATCTTGTTTGACGCCCGCAGATCATCAGACGGTCAGCACGTAGGTGCAGTTCCACGGCCACTCTGCTATGTCACGTGGTGGCTGTTGTTGATCGGACACTCAATCTTGTCATCTTCTTTCCCCTCGTCCTCGGACGAGGAGCTGATATATGCCAGCAACTGATCGTACCTTGTGTTCTTCGTCTCTCATCTTGCAGCGTTCCGCTCCTGGCTTTTGAGAAGGTCTTTGTGCTGAGGATGCGTGCGACGGCTTAGGTCGTCGCCGCCGGGATACGTCCGATCAGACTATGTGTTTGCGTGCCCCATTGCCCCATATGTTCTCGACTGAACGCAATCGAGTCCCCGAAATTGTGGCTAATTGCTAAGCGAGCGAAGCGAGCGGAGCATATACCGAAGAAAAAATTTCCAGAAGACTCCCTCATACCGGAGCCCTTCTGCTCTACTAATATCGATCAACGCGCGTAGTCCACTCGAAAGGCCACGAATGGACAAGATTCCACACATACGCGTGCGGCCTAAACAGTTTTCGAAGTAGGAGGCAACGCCGCTGCTGTCTTCGTGGCAGAAGAATAGGTGCCGTCTCTCCTCGGGGTGGATCTTCAGGAAGCGGTACGCACTCTCCAGGTCCAGCTCGAAGAGGAGCCGGTGGCTCCTTTTCGCCAGTGGCTCCGAGCCACTCCCTCACGGGGTATTTCTGCTGCAGCTCACCCACCAATTTCCGAGTACAGGTCGCGGATGGGAGCTTATTGGTGTTCGGAACTCTGGCCCGAAGATTTATGTTACCCCGGAGGTAGTCGCCGATCACTCTAGCCCCACCATCTTTCTTTGGGATGGCTCCTCGAGGGACGAAGCTCCGGTTGCGATCGAGGATCTCCCCCTCGTTCAGTTTCCTGATGAAGCCTTGGGCCTCCTCCTTGCGCAACGTCTCCTCGACAGTATCGATGACAGTAGGACCTCTCATGGTCCATGAGTCATGGATGAGTAGTTCTTGGAGCCGTCGCCGATTGTTTTGGACGGGAAGGGGAGGTGCATTTTTTTGTTGTATCTGGGGAAGATGGGACACGGGACGATCTCTCGCGAAATGCCAATTGGCAGACCAGAGATTCCCGATGTCACGGTCGTCGACACCTTACCTTTCCACCAGGATGCTGAGCAGCTTCCCATCGACGGAGTTGGCCGGTCCTGGCGTCCCGATCGGGAGGTTCAGTGAGCGCTTGAGTTTCTCCCTTGCCTTTGCTGCTGCAATCTCAGCCAAGGCTCCCAGGGTGGAGACCTGTCCTTCGGTGGGCCTTCCCTCTACGGCGCGGAGGGCGTCTGAGAAGCCCGAAGACTGCCCTACCTTCCACAGAATGGCGGCCACTCTGCGGCCGATGGTCTGATGAGCGTCTGAGAGGGGTTTGCCCGCGTCGGGTAATTGACAGCCACCTCCATCCTTGAAGTGCTCGTCGTCGAATATGTCCGTATTGATGGTCTTCGTGGCCTCCGCCTAGAGGTCTTGAAGGGCTTTACCGAAATCATGGCTTTACCGAAATCATGGTCACTGCCGGCTGGGGCTTTGGTTGCGTGGTACGCCTTTGTACGCACGCAATGTGTGCGTACGAAGGCGCTTTTGGGTGAGTGCCGCGCTGGCACCTAAGGGGGAGGAGTCCTCCCGGAGGACTCTTAATCCGAAGGGTTCGATCGGGTACTATTGCTCAACGCATCGACGAGTTCAAGAGACAACGCTTTGTCGAGTACTACGACTTGTCCGTGGACGCCCAACACAAGGTTGATAGTCGACTGCGCCGCACGGATATCACACACGATGATGAGGCGAGGGAAAATGAGAAGGATAACTTAGGCCGGAACCCACTGCGAGGACGCTGAGTCAGCGTCGCTGACTATGCCACGGCAGGGGCTGGGCACTCTCCTACTTACTGGGGGTTTGGTTCTGGGTGTTGCCGCCACGGCCGCGGCCGTGCTGCCGACGAGTGTCATGGCCTTTTGCACCGGTTTTGTGGGCGAAGATGCAATCGTCTCCGTAAGGGCACCACCCTGTACGCTCGGAACGACGACATGTTACCGAAGAGGGATTGGAGATAGAGTTAGCGCGCGGCCCGTGGCCAGAGGATGGAGTAGATCTGAACGATTCCCTGTGACGGGTGACGATGTCGGAGTTGCCGGTGACCAGCTGAAGGCCCATCTCCGTCGGGTGGGCGATGGCTTCGAGTCTCATGATGAGACTCTCATCTCTGCGTCCAAGCGCCTTAGGGGGTGGTTGTCCGACTGCAGGCCGTTGTCGCACAACCTCATTAGGTAGAGGAGTGCTTCCGCAGGATTGAGCTTCTGCAGCACGCAGTGGCCGATCAGCCACTTCGATATGTTCAGCAGCAAATCCGCGGCTCCGAATGACGAGCGGGGTAGGCCTGGGACGTCTTCCACAACCTCAATCTCACCGGTGTCGGCGTTGCATTTCATGCGCCTTTTCATCTTGGCGCTCACTGGGGAGAAACCGCATTCGTCCTCGCGCACCGGTTCGCCTTTACGGATCTTGGCAAAGATCTTGGCCGAGGGTAGATACCTTGAAAGGACATGTACGTTGTACGCCTTCTCGAACTTCTGCCGCATCAGCTCCACAGCAGGGTCGGGTTGAGCCTCCGAGACCTTCGCTTCGGTACCGAAGAGGCCGCTCAAAGCACTTAGAGCGTAAATGTTGACCGGGTTGCGGAGACTGCTAGCAAGTTCGGCGCAATCGCCCATATTCTTGTAGAGCTCCGGGACCACTATGCCGTCACGGCATTGCCGTGACGCACCAGGACGGATGAGATGTCGTATTGGGCGGTAGGCATAAGCTTCTCGCGGATGAAGCTCACGACTTCAGGTGGGAGTATAAGCTCGGAGCCGGGGTACAGACCAGACTGTTCCGGGACTTCAGCGCTCTCTAGTACCGCTTCGCCAACGTTGATGGTAACAGCCTCCCCGGCTTCTCCCGGAAGTGACTCCGCAACTGGCGCCACTTTGCAGAGGCCCAGGATAGGGGGCGGCAGTGGCGCCCGGGTTCCCGCTGGCCGTGTCGAGACCGAGAGTCGTGCCGACCGGACCAGCACCGCCGGGAGCGGGGCCGCTGCCCGAGGCCATCATGTGGGGCTGCATGATCAAGCCCTGACTGTCGACGCGGATACCTCTGCCGAGAGGGCCTTGGCCGTCGACGGGTGTGCCGTCCGAATTGGAGCTGTTCGCAGGAGAGGACATTGCAGCAAGCAAAGTCTGAGACACAGCTGGACGTCGCGATTGAGCAAGATCGCCATAGGGGAGCCGAGCTCGCCACCCCGGTAGGCGCGCAACCCAAAGACCTAGTCGGCGCGGCAGCTGCCGCTTGAGCTAGGCCGGGTGCAACGCTGCGGCATCATGGGTCCGAAAGAACGGAGGGAACCTCAAAACGTTGGAAGCCTATTAGAAGGGTTCCTCGGGCCGTCGGGACCATCGCACTGAACGGACCGCACTAGGTTGAAGGCGGTGGCACACGCCGCCTGCCCTAGCGCAGACTCGCCTCGTATACTCGAGGCATGAAATAAGTTATGCACGGCATGCACCGGCTGCCTTCGTGATGTCGTGCTGATGTTCGCACGTACGTACGAACCGTTTCGCTACGCACGCTGAACATGGACAGTGGACGCACCACGGATGATACGCACGCGTGCTACCCGTGCGCATGGTGTGACGCGCCCTTCGTATCGGTATTTAACCTGTGTTAACTTGTTAACTCTTTTTCTCTGTTCTATGGGGTTACCCTCTAAGACAAACAACAAAGCCTTGAGGCAGTCCGATAAGGACTATAGATTAACTAACAAATGTAGAAGCAGTGCTTCCATACCAGGTCTTCCAGGCCTCCCATCTGGGCGCTCTGGCAAGAGTTCGGCGAAGTGTGGTATTAATTCGCTAGCTCAGCCGGCGCAGTCACCAGGTTCGTCAACGAACCGTCACGACAAGAGTTTAGAGAAATCAGGTAGAAACTCCTCGCCTAAGCGCTTTGCTCTAGTTAGGGATCCGTGTTTCTCCGATATGAATTCACGTTGTGATCTATATCCGGATGTCTGCGAACGTCATTGGGACAAGATGCAGTCGGACATGCTGGCCAATGAAGGCGCGGACGGCAATAGTTGGGCAGACGAGTGCCCTATAGAAGCGGATGTCTCGATGGATCAGCTGGAGGCAGACGTGCTGGACTTTCAATATGGCGGCGCACCTTCCTCCCCCGCGTCCTCCACCCCTGCGCCCCCCTTTCCCCCTTCCCCTGCGCGCGAGCCTTCACCTCCTCGCCCCTACCCTTCGCGAGACGGAAGCGGTGACTCTAAGCTATGCTCTGGTGTCTCGGACGGCCAGCAGGTTGCGTCAGGCGCGGCTAACGCCAATCCTGCACCAGCGTTGTGCCAGATCATTGCGCTCTTGCGTACCCTGATCAGTACTCTCCCTTTGGGTCCTCAAGCCCCGGTTATATCGGCTCTTTTGGACTCCATTGTGGAGCTTGTACAGGCCAGCCTGGGCAGTGGTTCGGCTGATGCCAAACCTGCGGGTTCCACCCCAACCTTGCCCATCCAAAGACGGTCGGTTAACCCTGGAGTGGTTACGGCTCGTCAGGCCAAAGCGCAACGTGCGAAGGCCGGTCCTGCCACTGGGCAGCCGCGCCAGACCACTGCCGCACCTCCGAGACGCCAGGCCCCAGCTCCTGTCGACAAAGACGGGTTTACAGTGGTCACTGCACGTCGTGCGCCTAAGTCCTATGCGACTGCGGTCAGCGGTAACGCTGGCCCAGCTCGTGGCGGACAGAAGCCACGCGTGCAGCAGGCGCCTAACCCGTTTGCGTCGGCAGCGAAAAAGGCTACCACTAGTGGTAGCCGGCCAGTGGTAATTATCAGGCCTACGGGTCAAAATCCTGCGCCTCTGAGCAAGGCGCAGTTTTCGGCTCTTCGAGTAGCTGCCCTTCAGGCGCTACCAAAGGAGATTGTCGTTACTGGCGTCTTCCGAGTAGGACAGGTTGGTATCGGCCTAAGCATCCGTGATGCGGCGGCCGTACCAAGTGTGATTAGCTGTGTCGCCGCTAAGTTGACCGGCTACAGCTGCTCTAAGAAGCAGACGCGCTTCCCGCGCATTATCTGCTTTGGAGCAGCAGTGTCCAGAGACATCTCCGCGGCATCACTTGAAAAAGTGATCCGCGAGGAAAATGCCTCTGTTTTTACAGGTAAAAATGTCCCCAGTGGCATCGTTCAATCGATCCACTGGCGCGGACCAAACCTCGTGGTAGCAGCCTCTCCTGAGTTCTTCCGAGCCTGGAAGCGTCGAAGACTCAGAAGCTCAAGATAAATCATT